GGGCGTCACGGGCCTGCGCAACCTGGGCAACACCTGCTACATGAACTCCATCCTGCAGGTGCTCAGCCACCTCCAGAAGTTCCGCGAGTGTTTTCTGAACCTCGACCCTTCCCAGACCCAACAACTGTTTCCCAAGGCCCCCAACGGGAAGGCTCCGCTCTCGGGCAGGCCGGCCGGCAGCTCGGCCACCGAGCTGACGGCCAGGAGCGACCGGGCTGAGTCGTGCGAGCGGGAGGGCCTCTGCTTCAACGGCGGGGCCTCCATCAGCAGGAGCCTAGAACTCATCCAGAACAAGGAGCCGAGCTCGAAGCACATTTCCCTCTGTCACGAACTGCACACCCTCTTCCGTGTCATGTGGTCCGGCAAGTGGGCCCTGGTGTCACCCTTCGCCATGCTTCACTCCGTTTGGAGCCTGATCCCCGCCTTCCGGGGCTACGACCAGCAGGATGCGCAGGAATTCCTCTGTGAGCTGTTGCACAAAGTGCAGCAAGAGCTCGAGTCTGAGGGCACCACGCGCCGGATCCTCATCCCCTTCTCCCAGAGGAAGCTCACCAAACAGGTCTTAAAGGTGGTGAACACCATATTCCACGGGCAGCTACTCAGTCAGGTAGGTTGGCCCACCCTGACCCCTACACTGCCCATCGCACTGCAGGGAGGCTTGCTGGTTAGAGTTTGGGCTTCCTGTGAGTGCCTCCCACAGGTTATCTGGGCGGACTAGGGTAGCCAACATTTGCTGTAATTACGCATAATGGAGGGTGGCCATTGTACCTTTCATTGTGCTGTACGTTGTGTTGGCCTCGTTGGGGAACTTGCCTCCTCTTTCTGGGCAGGTTTTTGATTGAATTTGCCATATCGTTTCATTTTCAGTGAATGTCTTCAAGCTTTAATGACAATATAGGTAATATAATCTCATTGTTATAATTAAGTACCCATTGTTGGCATGCCATCCCTAGATCAGTTTCAGGAAACTGAACAGGTTGCCTATAACCCTGGTTCCACCCTAGTTTGAAAGAGCATTCTTCCTTCCAGGACATGCTTTACATAAAAGGAAGGGAGGTGGCTAGGAGGATGCCCAAGGCCTAAGCAAGCTTCCCTCCTGTTCCTCATTACCTCTTCTTTTCTGGATTGTTAGCATGTAGGGACATAAGCCAAGACTCATAGATAGAACTTTGTGCAGAAAGAATTTTTAGAGTTAAAAAACTGGACAACTTAAGAGATTGAGGTGAAACTTCTACATTATGCTACTGAGGTTTGTGTCTTGGTGTTTTACAGTTTTAAAAGAGTGATGAATGGGATGGAAGAGAAGGTTTATTTAGGCTTTTTTTTTAGCATGTGAAAGGGGAAGTATTTATGGGCACTTCCTCTACACCCTGAGGGTCCACAGGAAGAAAGGTGCATTGGGAAGGTTATGGGGGAGAGGAGGTCTAATAAGGTACCCTGAGGCTCTTTGAATACAAGGATCTGTGTAGGGATACTGCAAGAAACAAGGGCAAAAAAGAGAGGCAAGTTGGAGTGGGTGGAAGGAGCAAAGTCTGGATGAAGAAGTTGTGAGGATGAGAGAAGCAGACAGGAATCTGCCAATTCTCTATCTCAGACCGATCTGTGAATGATCCCATGATAACTATTGGTCTGTACTACCATAGCATTGAATGGTAGAGCATGCTTTGGGAGAAGAGAAGAGAGAAAGGGGAAGGTAATAATAACCTGTGCTGTGTAGTTTATCGGTTCCAGCTAGCATCATAGTTAGCAATGTATACCAGAAGTAATATGCTCTAATGCTCTTAAAGTTATTATTTTAGTATTACAGTGAAAGATTTTTTTGAAAACTACACTTAGTTTTGGTAGGTTATGTGTTTTCTGTAAATCGAGCAAAAGTGTATGTGGGAAGCATGGAGATTATATAACCCGTGAATCAATCTTTTCATTCTAGGTCACATGTGTATCATGCAATTACAAATCCAATACCATTGAGCCCTTTTGGGATTTGTCCCTGGAATTCCCTGAACGGTATCACTGCATAGAAAAGGGGTTTGTCCCTTTGAATCAGACTGAGTGCCTGCTCACTGAGATGCTGGCCAAGTTCACAGAGACAGAGGCCCTGGAAGGGAGAATCTACGCTTGTGACCAGTGTAACAGTGAGTGCTGGGAGGTGGAAGTGGAGGGGGAGAGGTGGGTGTGCACCTGAAATATCAATTTAAGATGCTGCTTTTGCCCTTTTCGTCAAAAGTAACAATGATAATTCTGAGTGGTTTTAAAGCATCTTTTAAAGATTTTTTTTCCTCCCATTTTCCTGAAAACAAGCATGTTGACGTTGTCGTATGTTAAAAAACAAAACAAAACCTAGGTGTTGGGCTTTCTTTGACTCCTGCTGTGATTAACATTAGTTGTTATCTTGGGAGGCATTGAAAGGGATCCTGAAATGGGGACTCTAAGAATGTTAGTACTTGCTTCCTAGTGCTACAAGGGTCCTACTTAAATTCATGAATATAGATTTGACAGTTCTTATTTCATCTAAAGTCAGGTGGCATAGCCTGTGTGAGGGTTACGGTATCAGAAATGTGTATTTTTGTACCGAATTTGTAGATTTCAAGTCTGTCAGAATTGATGCTAAAGATTGGTAGGAGACCAAGAAAGCAAGTGGTAAGGTGCATCAGCTTCATGGTTACTTTCTGCATTTGTTTTCACATGCCTTCACATGCCATGCATTTGGGGAAGTGGGGGAAGGAGGTCATAAAGTATCTCTGCCATGGCTCTAATTTAAAGTGGAACTCTTTCCATGTAGTTACGTAGACATCTGACGCAGACCTCCTTCTGTCTTGCCACGCTAACACTCAATGCTTTTGCTAACCCAGCACATACAGAGGGAATACAGAGCAAACTTGGAAACTCATGTTTGGGTTTTTTGGCATGTCAAGATTTGGAAGCTAAAATTAATGGATTGTGTACATATCTTGAAATCAATTTGCAGCCATAAAATAATTTGGACTACAAGTTTTGGGAACCACAATCTTATGATGACCCTTCTTAGTATGTTTGCATATCGTCTTTAAAATAGTAAATAGTGGGAAACATGTTGCCCCTGAAGAATCAGAACAAAAATCAAAAGTCATACTTGATATAATTTTGCCACTTATTTTTTTTTTAACATTTATTTATTTTGAGAGAGAGAGAGAACACATGAGCAGCAGAGGGGCAGAGAGAGAGAGGATGAGAGAGAACCCAAGCAGGTTCTGCGCTGTCAGTACAGAGCCTGACATGGGACTCGGTCCCACGAACCATGAGATCATGACTTAAGTGGAAATCAAGAATCAGACATTTAACCAACTGGGCCACCCAGGTGCCCCCATTTTGCCATTTTAGAATGCTGTACTTGGTTGACTATAGAGTCACCTGCCCTGTTCCTCATTGAGATATAAAGATAGTGACCTAAATTATCTTATTAAGAGCAGTATCTATTTGGTTTTCTTTTTTTTTTTTTAATGTCTATTTTTGAGAGAGAGAGTGCAGCAGGGAGGGGCAGACAGAGGGAGACAGAATCTGAAGCAGGCTCCAGCCTCCGAGATGTCAGTACAGAGCCCCATGCGGGCTCAAACCCACGAACCACGAGATCATGACCCGCGCCTAAGTTGGACACGCAACTGACTAAGCCACCCAGGTGCTCCCTATTTGGTTTTCTTAAGATAGTGATTCTTTAAGCTTCTTACTTGTAAGGAACAGACGGATGTTAAAAGCTGAACTTCATCATTCTCAGACATGATAGATTAGGTAAGAAATATTTTGTATTTATTTTTGCAAGAAAGGCATGTTTTTCTGGTTGCCAGATGTGCCAATTTCCAGGATTTCTCTAGGCGAGTTCAAATAGGGAAGGGAATCTATGGCGAAAGTACAAGATGTATTTTTGTTGTTTGTGAAGTTTCAAAACTATCAGTCTTCTCGCTCTCTATGTGGCCAGCTTAATCAAATGGAGACAGAACTGATCAATCTCCGTTGAATCAGTCATTTCTTTTTCTTTGTGAATTTCATTTTAGGGAAACAAAGCCAGTTTCTATATTGTGTTCATCTTAGCTCACATACTCCCTCTGCTGAGAGTGGCAGTCGCTGCCAGGGTTCCCAGGCAGAGCTGCAATAATTTTTGAAAATCTGCTGGTGAATCAGAATGTAAAATAAGGCCAGGCCCCTCTTTGGATTCTTTCTGTTCATGCCCCTACATGTCATGACCACCAGCCCTAGTCAAAGGTCCTATGGCACGCTCATTCTGCTGCAGTCTGTTGTGAAACCAGCAGCTTCACATCCTGTTGTCACAGGAAGCTCTGTGAAGCGTCATCTGGCTGTGATCTGCTACCTTTCATGAATGGTATAGGTACAACTTAGAATCAGATGTCTGGCTCTTCAGACATTGAGACCATAATAGCTCAAAAACAATTAGCAGGCACCACAGTGGACCACTAATTTTATATTCCCATCCATTCACCAGTCTAGTTAATATAATAACTGAGTGGTTGTCTATAAGTGGTTTCAGAGAAGGCTTCTGATGGAAATTAAGAGAACTTTATTTCCATGGTTTATTTGATGTGATGTATTATTTTTTTAACATTTGTTTTATTTTTTGAGAGAGACAGAACACGAGCGGGGGAGGGGCAGAGAGAGAGGGAGACACAGAATGTGAAGCAGGCTCCAGGCTCTGAGCTGTCAGCACAGAGCCTGACACAGGGCTCGAACTCACAAACCGTGAGACCATGACTTGAGCTGAAGTCGGACACTTAACTGACTGAGCCACCCAGGTGTCCCTATTTGATGTAATTTAGAAATGCATTCTCCTCGGGGTACCTGGGTAATTCAGTCAGTTGGGCATCCGACTTTGGCTCAGTTTCTGACTTCAAGCCCCATGCTGGGCTCGCTGCTGTCAGACTGTCAGCACAGAGTCCACTTTGGATCCTCTGTCCTGCTCTCTTTGCCCCTCCCCCGCTTGCACTCTCCCCAAAATAAATAAATATTAGAAAAAAAAAAAGAAATGCATTCTCCTCACAATTCAGTAGCTTCAGAAACAAAATTAGAGTCTGAGCACTGGTTCTGCTTTGGACTGGATGAATTTGGCCAGCCTGTCCACCTTGTCCTACATGTCCAGCAATGTGCTTATCCAAGAAAATGTTTCAAAAACTAGGTATAGCATAAAACTATAAAACCAGCAGTTTCTTTTCTAAATGTTTATATATGCCACAAACAAACCATGCTGAAAAAAAGAATCTGTTAAAATATTCTGTCCTGGGATGCCTGGGTGGCTCAGTCAGTTGAGCATCCGACTTCGGCTCAGGTCGTGATCTCATGGCTTGTGAGTTCGAGCCCCGCGTCAGGCTCTGTGCAGACAGCTCAGAGCCTGGAGCTACTTTGGATTTTGTGTCTCCCTCTCTCTCTGCCCCTCCTC